CCCCCCCCCCCCCCCCTAGAAAGCATCAGCCCCGTACGCCTATGGTCGTCCTCGCTCCTTTGTAATGGGAAATAACAGATTTCACCAGTCTTGTATAAAACGCCTGCACAGGCATTAAAATACGGAATTTTTACAAGGACACACTTTGCCTTCAGAGGCGTATTGTTGGCATAATGCGCAGACACGAGAACGAGTGGCGAAGCCACAAGTTTAGCATCGAAGACGCAAGCTTTTAAGGGGGTCTCTGAAATGGCATTTCCAGTATTCTGAGAACAGAATTTGGAAAATATTTGGCCATTTTGCGTGGATTACATTAATATATTTTCTGTTTAATATATTTTCAAGTACACACTTTTCAATTTACAAGGGCACATTCGCCTTTTACAAGGACACAAAGTGTGTACAAGGACACGCTATTTTAATGCCTGCGCCTGCATGCACTGATTCCATGCTTAGTATTGCTTACATTACACGGCTAAAAACGCACAGGTTGTTCCAAGTTGATATCGACAGGCGTGAACAATGTTGTGCGCCAGCTACGAACAAGTTGTCAACCATGTTGTTCCAAGTTGTTACAGTTGAACAATGCTGTAACTACATAATACTGTTCATAGTGGGCCTAGTGGCAGGGGCGCCGGAAGCAATATGAAGCGGCGGGGGCAGACATTTCAAAAGGGCAATTGCTTCTCAGCCATCATTTTTTCTGGACGGCAATATTTGTTAAAACTTTACTGTATGGATACTCGATTACTTGTGACTATCATGGGTCTGCAAACTTCAACATTAATTTTGAACAATTTTATTCGTTGATGACAATGATGATATCAATATTTAAAATCAGGTCATTTCAAACTTTCGTAATACTACGACGAACATTTGAGTCAACTTGTGAGTGGTGCCCCGCGCACAGTGAATGACGCGCAAATGACACTTAATATATATAAACAAGATGGCGCAAAATAGACCTAAGCGAACTTATACGTTTTGCCGAAGAGTACAGTGACTACACTCCTAGGCCTTCGTCCTGCTCCAAAAAGTCCGCAAAGGATAATAATCTTAACAAATCCAGCTTATCCGTTTCAAGTTTATTATAGTATGTAGTTACACTGCATGACGAGTTCTGCCAGGTATTTAAAAGCTATTTGATTGGGTTTCCACCTTTAGCACGTTTGAAAGCAGCGTGAAGAGAAATGATCTTTGTCTTGAATGCTTGAACTAAGCGTCTGCTAAGCGTGACACCTCGTATGCCACTCTCCAAAAGGATGTTATTGACAATAATGGCTAACTAAGACGCATACGTTTGACCTTCTTGTCGCTTGTACTCTGTTGACAATTTGTAAATCAAGAAACTGCACGGTTATATAAATCAGAAAGATACACATAAATAAACAGAATTTCCCAAAACCTCAATTAATAAAGACTACTGTACAAACGAGTACATAAATAAAAAAAATAAATAAAATCCACAAACTCACTTGCTTATTTATGCATCAGTCAAATCCAAGCGTGCCCATCCCCCGCCCCCCCCCCCCGGGCTACCCCGGGGCATTTTCCTATAAAGAACGTCCCGGGGTTTGGGCATTTGAACTCAAACCTTAGCCCGGGGCGGGGCATTTGAAATTCTTTGGTTTACTTTATACGTGCCCAAAATACCATGATGTATAAAACCAGTCAAGTTTTCAAATATAAAACGCTAAAATTCGAACCACGCCAAACTTTAAAATAAATGCGCTAGAGCATGACGAAAACCGGCGCTAGAGCATGACGCACAATGCTTGGTAGCCTGCAACGCAGGCGAAATACTTGGGCGATATACTTGGCCGATCGAAGAAAGCATTCTCTTTTATATTTTCAGGTAATTGGATAATCTGCTCTTCTTAGCGAAACAGTCCAGCTGTCCCCGGGGTGGGGGATTTGCTACTGATTTTTTGCCTTACTGCCGGGCATTTTCACGTGTTTTTTATTCCCGCCCCAGGGAATTTGTTGCATATTTTCAAAAATTGTCAAAAGCCTGGGGGTTTTCCCGGGGGGGGGGATGGGCACGCTTGGATTTTACTGATACGTTAGTGCACAAACGAAGGCAGAGATTAACTCTGAATCTGAAATTCCCCTTCTATATCATCGGCTGCAGCCTATTCATTTCAATGTTTTGCCCTCTATCAAAATACGCAGAATTCTACGAAAATTTAAAATCTGGCGCTACCTTAAGGCATAGACCTACTCTAGAGCCAGTTTTCTTCGACAGCCGCGCGCGCGGCTCGTTTCTTCTGTATAGATCCTGACAATTCGCGCATATTTAAAAAGTGCCCTTCGAAATAAGAATTATTTTCAAACGAAAGTGCATTCAAAATATGCCGCAGAATATATACTTTCCATTACTGGAGCTACCTAAACACGAATGTAAGAGTACAAGAAGCGCATACGAAAAAACATCAAATTTTGCGGCAAATTTGTATTGCAAAAGTTGGAAATATGACACGCGAAATATGAGTAGACTTTTTATTAACACTAAGTTTGATATGATCGTCCAAACAGCCATTGGCTGGTTTAAATTGAGTATGGATGTATATTGCCTGATTTAGCATCAATTTTACTACAACTGGTTAAAATTTATGCAAAGATTGCTTAAACTTTGCTTAAAAATAGGGCAACCTGTTGCCCCCGTGCTGCCCCAGCACTGTTTGGGCAACGGAGGCAGTTGCCCCCGCTGCCCCAGTGGCTCCGGCGCCCCTGGGTTAGAGCAACACCAGCCTGCCACCCTTTTAAGGTCGTTTGTAAGGAGATTCAAGCCATCCGCGAGATCAGCAACTTTAAGTGCTGTCTAGAGTGTCGTATCATCCGCAAAAGAGTAAATCTCGGATCCAGTGCAGGCATTGGGAAGGTCATAGATATATAAATTCAACAATAGTGGTCCCAAGATAGAGCCCTGCGACACACCATGGGTCACGCTCCTGGAAGATGAGAGGGTTTTGCCAATTCGGACTTGTTGCTTACGTTGAAAAAGGTAACTTGCAAACCAACGTAAGGCATTCGGTGAAACACCAAAGTTTTGCAATTTCTTCAACAATAATGAATGGCTTATACTGTCGAATGCTTTGGTGAAATCAAGTAGGACCATTGCAGTTATTTGTTTTCTGTCCATGGTGTCCAAGATGTAATCAGATACTGCAAGTCCCAATGTTTCGGTTGAATGTTGTTTTCTATTTCCACTTTGGTTAGTTGGGAATCTTTCGTTTTGGATAAGATAATTTGTAAATTGATTATGGACTACTCGCTCGCAATCTTTAGATAAGACAGGCAACAAGGAAATTGGGCGATTATTCTCGGCTTCTTCATAATCATCATTCTTTGGAATAGGAGTAATTTCAGATATTTTCCATTGACTGGGAAATATTCCTTTGAGAATTTTTATTTACGTTATCAGTTGAACAACAGAAGATAAACAATCCTTGAGAACTCTTAAATGGACTGTATCGTTTCCAGGAGCTTTATTGGAGGGCATCATGGTGATAATGTCACTCACTTCTTCTGTTGTCACTTGTCTGAGTTGAAACATATTGTCATCCACTGTCGCTGTAGTCAAAGCCAAGGTTTCAATAACGGGTGGCAATTCAAATTTCTGTGCTATATCTTTAGCTAATTGGGCACTCTTCATTCCCACGGTTGTAAGGAAGTCGTTGAATTCTTCCACAACTACAGTGGCATCTTTGGCGTATGCGGGTCTATTTGAATCTGCAGATGGCAAACAATGACGTATAGTTTTCCAAATGCAGTTATTATCTCCTTTACTTGATTTTATTTGTTCTTGGATATATGCAATCTCTGCTTCTCGAGCTCTTAGTTGTTGCTTTGTTATTCTTCTCTTTTCTTTAAACTCGGACCAATCCCTTTCAACACCAGATCTTCTCGCTTTTCTATGACTTCGGTCACGCGCGATCATCAAGTCTTTAATTTCCGGAGTCATAAGGGGAATTGGTTTCGCAGAGATTTTAACAGTTCTTAATGGAGCGTGAGAGTCTAATACTGACGAGAATAAATTGTTAAAGGTTTCTACTTTCTCTTCAGTATTATCAAATATATCCAAAATATGCCAACGTATTTTACCGATATCTTGCGCAAATCGTGAGCTATTATAGTTTTTATAGCTGCGTACCTGGATGTAGGACTTCCCTTGTTTAGGCCTTCTCAAATTACGGTTCACGTGTATAAAGTAATGATCACTTATAATTAAGTCAAATGTATCACTTTCTTTAACCATACTAGGATTTGACAGGATGATGACATCAATTAACGTTTTACTGTTCTCAGTTACACGCGTCGATTTGTCTATGATTTGCTTTAAGTTATAATTAACACAGAATTCGCCCAAAGCTGTAGAATGACGATCGTTTTTGAGCATGTCACAGTTGAGGTCTCCCAGGAGTACTACGTCCTTATTTAGAGTTAAAACATAATTCATAATCGGTGACAGATGATTACTTAGGCAGGATATCGGGCAATCTGGTGGTCTATATACCACTCCAATAACCAATGATCGTAGTTTGAGTTGTTGACATTGAATCCACAATTGGTGAAAGTTGTCAGGTGAAATACTGCTTAGGTCTTTATGTGGTGTAACTTTAAGTCCTTTCCTAGCATATACACAAACCTCACCCCCTCCCTCCCTTTGTAAGACGATCAAGTCTATAGAGGTTGTAACCTGGGATGCGAATATTAGCGTTGGAGTTGGAGGAATTCAACCAAGTCTCTGAAAGGGATAAAATGTCAAAGTCTTGTGAATAAACCAGGTGTCTAATTTCTGCATGATGTTGTCTAATGAGAGACTGGATATTGAGATGGGCAATGTTCAGATGTTCTTTCTACCTTCGAACATAGGCTAGTTTGGCTTGAATCAATGTGTTGCTGGTTGGAAAGTTGATAATTAATTGGAATATTTACCAATTACATATGTATTCTCAAATCTGCAGGAGGACGATTCGAGCGAGGCCCCGATTGCCGAGTTCCAGAAATCACTGGAATTGTATGTCTTTGTGGGTTATTAGTATTACACTCTTGGATAGTTGGACCGGGATTAAGTTCTGTATCTCTACTGGTAAGAAGAATATTGAACGTAGCGTTTGCGTTAGGATAATAGGAAAACCTATTATGGGATCTCCTTTTGTAAAATGCAGTTTGAACACAGCACGCTCAACGTCGTCGCGGTTGAATAAATATATGTTATTTACCGGCTGCGAGGTCCGGATGAGAAAAACTGTGGCCGAGGTTTTGAAAACGGCCCGAGTCCGAAGGGCGAGGGACGTTTTCAAGACCGAGGGCACAGTTTTTCTCATCCGGACCGACGCTGCCGGTAAATAACGTGTTTATTTTTTATCAGATGTAAAAATTAAATTCATTAAAATTCCAGTGTTGCTTGAGAACTAATTTGAGATCAGTGCAGTTGTGTATTTTCAAAGCGAGGCTGACAAAAACTGAAATTTGAAAAGTTGAAAGATATAAAACACGATACGAAAACTGGAGAAAACTGGCAAGAAACACACAAAAAGACGTATAGTTTCAGTAAAAATGTACATGCTTTTTTCATGAATATGGTATAGAAGAGAAGCTTTGGAATAAAAACGTTTAGGCCTGGCGTTTTGGCTTTGGCAAAATCATTTGCTCCTGACAACGACAAGTTCATGTTCAGATCAGATCAAAAACATATAAAAATGAATCTGTTTTGATTTAGTCAACGTTTTTCTACTAAAAGGACAATGAAAAGGCTATGTTGTTTTTATATTTTTGTATTTTTCCTTGTCATTTCACGATAATATGCTTGAAAAAATTGTTTTTAATATAAACACAAACTTTTACTTTGTTTACAATATTTATATCAGTGAAAAATGCATGACACAAGTGGGTAGAGAATATATTCGTGACTTGTTTTCACTGCTGCAGTTAAAACTTTTTTAAATGGGAAAACATTTATTTTACAATAACTGTTTAAGCTGTAATTTTTTCGCTTTTAAATGGCCGAATACATGAGCATTTAAAAAATATATAGTTTTCTCGACGTACTTTTTATATACATACGTACGTACGTCGAATAATTTCCCGACTTTCAATCGCGTTTCTATCAAAATATTGTCAATTCTGGTGAACATCGTGCTTGGTATGAAGCCTTTGGGGCTTGATGCAATTCATTTTTGTATTCTGACTATCGTTAGGCTATGTTTTTCAAACGTTTTTGGAAGATTTTTTCTTATTAAAAAATTGTTTCACTCCTCAGTTTTTGTCACGAAAGCCAGACCGGGCAGTTGCATCAGATTGCTTCATTTTCACTGATAAAAAATAAAGAACACATACTTTATGCAAATTTCAATATTGTTTATCGACCACGAACAGCAAAAAAATCTTACTTTTAAACGAAAATCTTGGAGCAATACAAACATTATTGTCGCTGAGTTTAACATTGGGCCAAACTAACCGTTCGCTTGTCGCCCATCTATCGTACTGAAGCTCGCTGTGATCCATAGTCGCGTTTAAAGCCAAACACAACCTGACATGTTCGACCAGTTTGCCCTGATTTCCTGACAAACAATTCTGCCATGGGTTACATTTAAATCTCGTATATGTAAAGTCGCTAATTTCATTAATATGTGTTTGGTCATAGGTTAAATAGACCGAAAAACAAAGTAAAAATACGGAGCACATGGGGGCCATGGTCATTGTCATATTTAAGAGGTTTAGAATTTCAACCATGTCATGCTTACTGGCTCATAACCATACCACTAAACATCAAATTTCACCCTTTGATTTTAAAATCCTTTACACTGCTACTTCTGAAGCGGATTTGCTCATTCGCGAAAGCCTTTTTATATCCAAGCTTAATCCTATTTTAAATGCCAACATTATGCGACTCAACTCCTCTTGACCTATTCTAATGCTTTGCTAGGTCTCTAGTTAATTACTAACCAGGAGGCGGTTGTATAAAAACGTAATTAGCGCTAACTGTAGTTAGCGTTAATCACTGTACATGACTTAAGTGCGTTGCACAAAACGTAGTTAGTCGGATACATAGATCAGGAAATGAATAGATGGCTCACTCCTTTGATGTTTTTGACGCTGCCGGCACCCACGCATGTTCTTGCCAGAGTAATAGCGACCTAGCAAGTCACTGTAGTAAAATGCATTGTGAAACTGACATCGGTGCTACTAAATCCTGTATTTTTATAACATGGCTAGAAATCCAATACAGTATGCGGTTTGACCTGCAGGCTCAAATTTACATAAATTGCGGATTTGCATAAATTAATTACTTGGTATTAAACATTGCGGTTCAGTCATTTCTACAAGGAGTTGAACGAGTTAAAGAGTCTTGTTCTGTGCAGCACAGCTGATTTTTATAGCGAGAACAAGACTAAACGCGGCTAATATATTGTGAATATCTAAAGCCAAAAGGTCAATACTATATCCTGCGTACATTGAGTTTCATTAGCATATGCGAATGAAGGGCTTGCAATTGCTAGGCCTAATTTCCATTGCAAATAGCAATCTAATAGCGGAATATCATACATGTTTAATACAACAACTCCGCGTAAACACTGTAAAAATATATAAGAAACAATTTATATGTAAAATGCCTCTTTATTGTCCTTTATTGATGAATTTCGTAAATTGCGAAATTTGATTCCCAACAGAAAGTGTATATTTACCAAGCCAAATTTCAAATTTTACCGCTTATTTACCGCTTATTTATTATTATTTTATTATTATTATTATTATTTAAAAATATTTTAAAACGGTAGCTCTTCAGGGCTCGTAGGCACCTGCTTTTCAAGAGGCCGTTTATTACAGTATTTACAAGCTATATAAATATAATAACACAAATATACACACAAAAACAGAGAAAACATAACGAACTTAATAATTGCATGCACTACATTTGTATCTAAAAATATCCTATCCTATTTAAATATTTACAAAGTTACCAAAAGGAATCAAGTGCCGTCAAGAATACGTTTAAATTTGTTAAGGCTAATGCCTTTTTCTTTTGCTGTAGTTGATAAGTCGTTCCAAAGGGATGCAGCTGAATAACTGAAGCTCTTTTTCATAAAATTTGTTTCAGGTTTTCCAAGATCATAGTTGTTATTGTTACTTCTTAAATCATATCTGTCATTTATTTTAATTTTGAACATGTTGCAAATTGATGATGGCATTTTTTCGTTTCGTATTCTGTGCATAAAAATCGATTTAATGGTTTTATAGCGTTGGTTTAAAGGTTGCCAGTCTAATTCTTTTAAAACATCCTCAGAACTAACTTCATAAGTTTTACCAGTGATGATTCGAGCCGCTCTGCTTTGTAATTTCTGAAGTCTGTTTTTTAAGTAATCATAACAGTTATCCCACACCAAGCTACAATAATCAAAATGTGATAGCACAATGGCATTATATATTTTTACTAAGGTTGA